CTCTCTCTCTCTCTCTCTCTCTCTCTCTCTCTCTCTCTCCTCCTCTCTCTCTCTCTCTCTCTTCTCTCTCCTCTCTCGCGGTCTCTCCTCTCGTTCGTCTATCATCTTCGTTTCGTCTTCTCTCTGTCTATCAGTTTCGTTTGGTTCTCTGTTACTTTCTTTCTTTCTTTTATTTGTTTCTTACTTTGGGTTCCTTATTATTGTTATTATTATTATTATTATATAATTGTCATTATTACTATTTTTATTCTAATTAAAATTTTATCATTATTATCATCATTACTATTATAGTTGTTATTATAATATAATTATCATTTTCATTATTATTATACAGTTATTACATTTATGTATGAGTAGTAGTATCAGTATTACTTTAATTTTATATATCACTTTATATACTACTCGAGTGAGTGAGTATTATCTTTTTCCATTAAATTAACTACTATACTATACGTATACTTAATATTGTTAATATATTATCATTATCATATTATTAAAAGGACTGCTGAGCCGTACACTACCAGTATTATGGATTATCATCCTCATTATGCTAGATTAGTAAGTAGTAGGCAACAAACAAGTGATTACCATTGTTATAATTAGATCAATGTATATGTTACGTGTGATCAATTTATTTAGGGATTCTATTATTATCGGCTCAAAGATTGTCTTTTTTGTTCGGATTCGATGTCATCCTAGATGTGATTATTACACGTGACGATATTGTTTATTTAATGTTATTGCGAATTATTTCTTGTTTGACAGTCCACGCCTTATGTATCTATACCATATGTTTCATAATTTTGGCAGTGATTTCACTTATCATTTGTATAGTCATTCTTTATGTATCTCTACTACTCGGAATGAGTTTGTTATGATTCACATAACGCCGATATGTTTATCTCAGGACTAGGGGAACTTCTCCACTAGTACGTACTATTCATTTTTAAAACATTAAATTCTACTTTCGCTCCGCGCGTTTTTCGCCTTCTCGCCTCTCCGTCTCTCGTCATCGCTTCTCTCTTCAACTCCTTCGTAGAACAGTCCGTGCTCCCTTCGCCCCTTCATGTCCCTCTATTCTCGTTCCTTCTCTTCGATCATCCTCTCGTCTCTTCGCTCTTCTCCCTCGCAGATCGGCTCTCCAGTCCCCTCCTCTCCTCCGAACCTCTCTCAGATGACTCCTCCGTTACCTCATCTCGTGTAACTCTCTCTCTCCCCTGCCACCTCTCATCTCCTCCCTCCTCCCGATCACGTCGTCTCTCTCCCTCCCTCAGATTCCGCCTTTCCTCCCGTAACTCTCTCTCCCTCGTCAGTCATCATATTCTCATCGTAATCTCACCTTATGCTATCCCAGTCATTTAATCTATCCCTACTATCTAAAACCCACCCACCTATCCCTCTATCTAGTCTCATAAATTATCCGCACATGCTATGTATTACACTCTCTAGTTTATACTCTAATCTATCGATTCTATCTATCCGCTATCCTATCTATCTACTCTATGCTAATCTATGCTATCTATCATATTCTATCTACCTAATTCATACATCTATATTAGTTCATATAAAATTCTCTCTCTCTGCTCTCCCTCTCTGCCTAATCTCCCACCCCAAGTCTTGTCTGTTGTCTGTCTCCTCGTTCTAAATTCTTTTTCCTGAGTTCTCTTTTTGTCTCTTTGTCTCGCGGTCTTTGAACAGAGGTCTCAGCAGCTTCTCTCTCTTCTCTCCTAATGTGTGTGTGTGTGCGTATTGCGTTGTTGCGGTGTCTCAATGGGCACAGTTTCAACCAGTTAACAAGACTTAAAAAGAACTAGCAAAAAAAAAAACCACGGCATTGAATTTAACGATATTCCAGCGACAGAAACCAGCCAGTCCCTGAGTTGCGAAGGCGAATGGGTGGATCGCTTTCAGTCGAATCGAGAAATATCAATTATCTTTTCTTGGCGGTAGAGGGGAGGGGGGGTAGTTGATTGTTTATCTAATTAATCGCTTGATTTGTTTGTTTTCTTTTTATTTATTTCTTTATGTGTAGGCGAGTAGGAAGGAGGAGAGAGGGAGGTGAGAGAGAGAGAGAGAGAGAGAGAGAGAGAGGAGAGAGAGATGAGAGAGAGAGAGAGAGAGAGAGAGAGAGAGAGAGAGAGAGAGAGAGGAAGAGAGAGAGAGAGAGAGAAGAGAGACAGACAGGAAGCAGAGAACAGAGTGAGAGATAGAGAAGAAAGAGAGACAGAGTACGAGGGTACGAGACGAAGAGAGAGAGAGAGAGAGAGAGAGAGAGAGAGAGAGAGAGAGAGAGAGAGAGAGAGAGAGAGAGAGAGAGAAGAGAGAGAAGATGAAGGAGCGACATATAGGATGTATCATCGCCGCGCAGGTGGCTTTGCATCCCCGG